TTACCGAGGGAGGTCATGGCCGCATTTAACGACCGAGCTTTTAGGCGTGCATTGACGAAACATCTTTTTTCTTGAAGAAGTGTCTCTTTTCTTTAATTAAGCCATATATGTTTTATTGTTATATTTTTCTTTTTTGTTTTTTTATGTTATATTTTTCTCTTTGTTCGGTATGATCTAGACAAAGTTTTTTTTAAACTTTCATCATCACCAAGTTAATACTTCGATTCTAGATCAACCTCAGGAAGTATTAACTTCGATGATCTAGAAAACCTCAGGATATTTCGGACCCAATTTTCAAGCTTCAGAAATAGTATGTTTGATGTACCTTGGAATTTTTACTTGTCATCGTCAAAAACAGCCTTAAGCCAGCCATCTGAGGGCTTTATTGGATAGACTCTCCTATCGACAAGCTCCAGCATAGCTTCAAGCCCGATTCATTCAAATAACAGCAGATATTGAATTTCTAGCATACACATGTATTACATACAGTCTTTTTCCGACTTAAAAACACCATCCTCACATGCAGCAAGAGCATCAAGTTGAATACATCATTACTTCAATACTGGCGAGATAATGTGTTGGTTCTACATGCTACAAAAAACTACCTTTTCTCATCTGACTCGTGGTCGGTGCAAAGTAACGAAGGAATGTATCTGATTCTTTATTCATCTGTTTGTACTATATGTGAAGTCACAACCTGAACCAATCAAAAGAAGCGATGAAATTTAAAAGAGACTGATATGATGATCGAACATGGTATATCATTGAAACCATTTGAAGATAAGGATGGATGACAAGCTATGACTTTCACAAAACGTTACGGAGTTACGTTTTGGGTTGCTACGCGTGGATAAGCCGTGGAGGCGCCATTCTTTCGACTCGGACTTGAAAATGGTCAGACTTGTCCACCTCTGTTTTTTACACTTCATGATTAACTGAAGGATTATTCTATATGCTATGTTAATTGATGGTATCTTCTAGGGATGGGACAGCTCCGGTTCCTATAGTTCTTAAGAACTAGTCGAAAGAACTGGTCACTAGCTCAGTTTCTGTTGAACGAGAACTGCTACCAGTTCTTTTCAAGAATTCAAAATAAAATAAAATCGATATAGCTAGTTATATTGACTTGGTTTAGTCAACTAAGCACACTATCTACCTCTGGCGCACTACACAAAGTCAATGTAAGCAGGTTCACCGATTTTATTTCAATTTTAATTTTTTGAAAAGAACTGTTACCAATTCCTGTTTAAAAGAACTGAATTAGAACTGTCCCACCCCTAGTATCTTCCAAACTTTGTTAATAGGCCTACTTCGGAACAAACCGCTCGTTTTTTGTAGCAAGTATCATGCACGCCGAGTTTTATCAAATATAACTTGTTCTCAAGATCAAATGGAAATGGCTCCCGAGCTTTTTAATAGATGTAAGAAGAAAAAATTGTTTCTCCATTATAGATTTAATCGTGTGGCCTACTTTTCGAAAACTGTACTATCTCCTAAAAGTATGAATCAACCTGTTGAAATATTCTGTCCTTGTCTCTGCTCGAAGAACTATTTGAACAAATCAAAATCTACAGACTTTCATAGCATCAGTCCAGCAGTATCTGTGCTAAAAGTATTTCATTAACTCATAGTTTTCAGGAGAGTAGCGGCGGATCCAGAATAATCGATATTTTTCGTTCTTCCTATATGAATACTCACATTGTATTACGTGTAGTCAGCTGCTTGACAACGCGTATATATCGTATAGACAGAATAATAATATAGACAACGAAAAACCGTACCGTAGATTCGCTAGAGCAGGAGAAGGTATATTTTTCGAAAAGTCGGTCACACAACTAATCTTATGATGAATAAGCAATAAGTGCGCGAGACTCTTTGCTCCTTGCGTGATTTCAAAAAGCTTGGGAATCACTTTTATTTGATCGGAAAAACAAAGTTATATTCAGAGGTCTTGAAAAAACGGAGGCTTTTACAGACTTTTGCTAGTGCTATGTAATATACATAGTTAGATTGTGGATAAAGTGAGCGGAACTTTGGAGAAAACCTTTTAGTCGAATATGAATGGTTTGTCAGAACTAACTACGTTTAACAATTGATAATACTCACGTTTATTTTGTTTCTCTTGAAGATGGACATTACGTCAGAAGAACTATCGTCTGACTATTTTTATAATGATGATATAAAGGATAGGATGGATACAAAATCAATGAAAACAGATCATGATATATTGGCTGGTATGGATCCTGCTACTTCGATCGATCTCTCCGATAATCCAATGGTAGGTTTATACGTGTAGTTTTTAAATTTGCCACTATTCTATTTTTTTATGTACAGGTTAATTATGTTCGAAAATTGATTCGTTTACCGAATATTAGTAATGATATGTGGACACGGGAGCATTTTACTCTAATCAAAGATTTTTTATCAATAAGGCCTCAACGTTTATTATTTGCATATATTGATCGTCGTACATCCAGTTTGATTTTAACAAGTTCAATTCCGACTACTTATGTAATACAAATTCAACACGGCCTTAACTATTTTATTCGTAAGCAGCAAGATGTTCAAGTTGAAATGAACATTCAAACAGTAACCGATTTTCTAAAACATATACGATTTGGTTATATTAATTCGAAACCGATCAAATGTTGTGCGTCACTTGTTTCATCATTATTTGGACCCTTATTCATCGACAATCCATATGTTCAAGATGGTAATCGTTTTTATAAGCGTTTCTATGTATATTACTGCCTTTATTCTTTTGTTAGTGATTAAAAATGATTTTGCCACTGAACTAAATTCATTTTTGGCAACACTTTATGAACATCAGTATAAAGATTCATCTTACATAACATATCTGTTTATTCCCAAAGAAGGCGTTGATAAACCATCGGACGAACTAATTAAAGACAAGGCATTGATAACACGTTTTGAAGGTTAGTAATAATACATAATTCTAAAGTTTCATTATCACATTTTAGCGTTGTGCTGATCGTTCCTGTGGTATATGTTGTGAATCTCTCCCAGTATAGGAGGCCATTTTGGAGTGAAATTTTTTCAAAGGCATCCAGTAGGAGTAAGACAATATTTTTCAAAAAAAGTGTTCGAAATGTGAAATCATAATATAAGGCCATGATCTTCTATTCTGAATGGTAGGAGGATTATCTTATTTTTTAAGCTTCGTAGTTCATAAGGTCGTGGAAACTGAAGAAGTCTGTGGTCTGCTCATTATCTTACAGCTCTGAAACTACATTATACAGCTGAATATTAAGTAAATATGATTTATTTTTCTAGTTGTCATGCTAAAATGGCATCACCAACTCAAAGATGTATTGTTAATACAAGATCGTTTGTCGATGCAAGACACTTCTGTTGGCATCACAGAAGAAATTGAATTTTGGACTGCACGTTTAACTGATTTACATCACATTGGAAAACAACTGGAACGATCAGAATTGCAAAATATCATAAAAGTATTAATTATGGCAAAATCAATATATACCCAACAATTTTTGACTACTGAACAAGAGATTAAAGTATGCTATAGGCCTCTGTTCTCATTTCATGAAACAGTAATGTGTATTTTTAGAAATGTACAGCTTATGTTGAAGATTGTTTAAAATTTCTCAAAATTTTATGGGAACCATCATTAAAATTAAATGATGTACCCCTAGATGAATTACGTCAAGTTGTCACAGATATTCTTTATCGAATTATGGTTGCTTGGTATAATTCAAAATTTTTTGCTACTCAAGATAAAATAGCATTAATCATCAGTAAAGTATGAAAGATAGATGATATCATTTTAGTTAACGAAAATAACCGTCTTTTTCTCTTTAGATAAACAATCAAATAATTACAAGATGTGTAAAATATATAAATATAGAGAAATTATTTCATGGTTATGTTCAATCAACACAAGATACTTTACAAAATTGTTGTCAGATTATTGATACTTATCTTGATACTTGTCTGCATGTAGGTAAACTTCTAAGTACGATACATTTGTCACTTATCAGTGATCTAGTATGTTGTGCAGACAGGCAAAATATAGAAAATGGATGTATTTATTTTTTCGAAGGCTAATACTTTGTTTAATCGAACACCAGCTTTTCTGCTCATTTAAATAGTCGATTATTATGTTGTGAGGCGAAAAAAACGTTGAAAACAAAAAGAATAATCTTTTCTTTTTTATTTTATTTCAGATATTTGAAATGCATGATAAATATGCAAAGAAATTATTTCATTTCAAGAAGGATGATCTATTTCATTTTGTATCATTATTTCGTCAACGGTTAACTGAAATATCAGAAGTATATATTTATCCTTATAACATCATTATTTTCACTATTTTGTTCTTTCTATTATTTTCCCCTTACTATCTTTAGATTTGTGATTGTATGAAATATTTTGGTTGGTACCGTGATGGTTTACAAAGAGAAAAATTACCATTATTTGGTGGTAGACAAGGAGATGAATATCAACGTACTCTCGAAGAATCCCAGCATGCACTTGATCGAGCATTAATCCCTTTGAAACGACGTTCAAGATATATGTTAGACATGTCTATTCAAACCTATAGAATATGGCAAAATGAAATGCAAAGGTCAGACTCTCACAGTAGTAAATTGAACAGAGCTGATTTATTTTATAGAATCTTTGTAGATTTTCAGCCGCTATCCGCGAGCTGGACGTAATCATTGTTAAATTAATTAATGAAACAACAACCAAAACGGAGACGATTGAACAGATGATCGATATTTTAGATATATTTGTCAATTTAAGACAAAGAACAGTATGTTTTGTTTGTTCGACTTCTAAAACTATCACGAAGAAGGAGGAAAGAAGGGGAAATAATAACAGATTTTGGAGTCTTTTTAATCTTGTATTCGCATTTAACGCATAATAACTAATAATGATCTACTTAGGGCATACCAAAAGTTCCGAGGTTTCTAGATAAAAATTCATAGAAAAGAGTTAGTCAAGTTTTTTTGAAATCATCTTTAGTTCATAAATTCATACTCTTGATTATGCCATTCAATGCAACGGAGCTAATTTGATAGATTATATTTTTTTAATAAGATTGACCAACAGAACATGACGAATACGTGGTGTGATAATAGGAGATGAGTTTTAGATTCGTAAGCAAATGGACTGAAAGTTATAAAACACGAAAAGGACAGCAACTCGAGACTTTCCACCAACTTTGATTTGATACAGAAAGTTGGCTCCCAAAACGCTGTTTTCTATCTTTTTTTAAGACAACTGGTTCAGTTCTCGTGCAAAAAAGAGATAAATGTAGCAAGAGGGTAAGCTTGTAATCACCAATACGATATCAATAATTGCTTACAGCTACTTATCAACGAAATGAGAAAGCAAGATCATTGCCTAATACTCAGGGTATCAAATTTCATCATGACAATATCCGATCACATACTCATAAAGGTGTTTCCAACTATTTCGAATCAGAAGGTACCATAATTATGATAAGGTCATCTTATTCTACGGACTCAGTACACGCGATTTTTCAGTATTCTGCCTTATCAAAAAAATATAATCTATCAAATTAGCTCCGAATCATTGCATTGGATGCTGTAACAAGAGTATGAATTTATGAACTAAAGATGATTTCAAAAAAGCTTTCGACAAATAGCTTGACTGAATGTAACTGTGTGCGGATAATCTTGACTACCAGTTTGAATATTTGCTGAGGTAAAAACATGATTAACGCTTTTCTATGAATTTTTATCTGGAAATCTCGGAATTTTTAGTATGTCCTAAGTACTAAGTAATATAACATTTAGTTTTATTTTAATTTTCCTGAAGAAAAAGAATTTCTCTTGGTTTTTTTGCTAGGCAATAAACAATGTGCTCGTTGATAAAATCCGTGATGTTTATAAAATGTTTTTTAATGGACTCGACGATGTCCATACACAAATTGCATCACGTCAGAATATAACAGACAATTTTGAAACAGCACTACCAAAATATGCAACAAGAGCAACATGGATTCGAAATATTGTTATGCGTGTTGAAAAAGATTATAATATTTTAGTCAATTCATCATCTCATTTGTCTGATGTGCAACAAAAATTAGAAGCAAAATTAAATTATGAAAAACTAATTGCTTTAGCAGAAGATTTTAAAAAGCGGGCGCACAGTGACTGGTGGCAGGCAACATCTGATGTAAGCCATTAATAGCGAGCGTTGAAAAATGTTTTGCACAAATATCAAGCACTATTCCTAGTGAATGTACATGAGACCAAGTACTTAGAAAAATACTTTAGTAAGTAATGTCCAGAGTACCTGGAGTTTTTTGCAAGTAAAAAAGGTACTTATCAAGTAATTTAACAAGTGTAAGTACTAGATAAGTACCTCATCAAGTATTTGACAGGTAACCTGATAAGTATTTGCGAAATATATGCAAGTATCCAAAGTTCTTCCAAGTGCTTGACACGTATCAAATCTAAAAATGCTTTGACAAGTGCTTAAGTACTTTAGAGAATTTGCAAGTAGCTAAGTACTTGATCTCAAGCACATTCACTAGGGTGTGCCTCCATATTTTCAATATTCTGGAGCGTTTATTTTATTTTTGTTGGAAAGAGCAAAGCCTCAAATGTGTATCAGACAAATCATTTATGCTCGTTCTGTAGCTCGGGAATTTATTTCATCAACATTCTTTAGTTCATGAAGAAACAAACTTCAATATTTTATTTATTTCGATATGTCGTGTTACAGCATTGACTTAGATAACTACGAATGTGTTTAAGACAATGTTTCACTTAAGATCACTTTTCATGAAATTTAAATCAAAATGAGTGAATATTTAAGTTAATTTAAGTTAACTAAATATTTAAGTGAATATTTAAGATTTTTTTATAAAATCAACTCAACTGCTAACTACTATTAAGTTGAGATTTATTTAATAATATTGATGAAACGATCTCTCAACTTTTCTCTTTCAATTATAAAGAAAACGAAGATACAGAGAAAGAGAACATGAAGAAATAGTTCTTCACATTTTTTTGTCTTTCTTTTAGCTATTACCTAGAAAATTATTGCAAATTCCATTTTTACGTCGAAGTCAAAACCATAACTCAATGATCGAAGTTTATTTTGATTCACAAATAATTGTTGCTATTAATGAAGTCGTACACTGGAATCGTTTAGGTTATGAAATTCCCTATTCATTAAATGATGTGTATAATGCAAAAGATTCATATAGACAAATGAGAGAAGAAACATACAAATTTGTTCGAAAATTTAATCAGTATATATTTCATTGTCCGACTAATAAATAGTATCTCTATGATATATTTGACTATTTGTTGTAGATCGATTGCATCACTAAGTCAAGAAGAATCATGTTTATTTCAGGAACGTATAAAAATTATGCTTAAGAAATTACAACCGGCATTTGTAGGAAAAGTGACGTATATGGATGAAAATCAATTTAATGATTTTATATTTGATGCTAATCGATTTAATGATCAGGTAAACAGTACACATTTTTTTTTCCTGTATACTATTGTACATAATTTATTCTTCCCACTTTTCTAGCTCACTAACTTAATAAAATCGTTTAAAGTGAATCATATAAAATGTTGTTTGAAATGTACAGCGATTAGTCATCAATTATTTGTTAAAATTGAATCGGGAACAGTTTATATTTATGATTCATTTGTTGAAACACTCGTATGTCTGATCATTTACAGAATAAAGTTAAAATGAGTCTTCACTTTTCTGTTTACTTTTAGAAATCTGTTGATCGTGTTAGTAAATATTTAATTCATGAAATGTACGAAGAAATTGTTATGGGAATAAGAATGCAACAAACAATTTTTAAAGATGATCCCGCTCAGGTGAAAATAAAATTCTTCTTTGAATAAAATCATCAGATATATATTTAATAAATAAATGACACAAAAAGTTATTTTTATAGCAAATTTTGTGTAAAGAAAAAAATCGTTGAATTGAATCTTTGTCCAAGAATTTTTAGCTGCATATTTTCAAAAAAGGTTTTTATTCGTTTCTGTTCAGGTATTGACATGTTGGGATCATTGGATTAGTTTTATTGATTGTATGCTAGAAGAAGCACTGTTATTGAATGTTACCACATCGTTACAACAACTATCATTGTTAGTCAATGGAGATGTACACGGTGCTCCAACACCATTTCTAAATATTGATTTGTGTTTAAAGAAAATTGAGACACCAATAGAAAAAACAAAATATGTTGTATGTATTATTATCTTTCATTCCATTTTTGTCACTTAATCATCTTCATTTCGTTAACAGCTTGGTTATCATCCATCGTTAGAAGAATTAACAGAGACAATAAATAATATTGGTGAAAATCAAATGATTGATTCAATTAGTGGTTATGTTCGATTGTGTGACTTATTTTCTTATTCATCATTGAATCGAGAGGTATTTTTATCGTTTTTATCCCTTTATCTTTTTTTTATTTTTAGAAAAGCTGTTGTGCGGTATTGCGCAATTGTTGAAAAATATTCCACTACATTTTATAGGCTTATCATGCTGTTATTCGCAATAATCCAATACAATCCAAATGGAAAGCGAAGATAGCAGTTGGCACACAGAGTGCCATGACTGAAATTCACAAGTATACCGAAAGAAATTGGTATCAATTTAGACAATTATGGGAAGTTGATAAAGAAAGTTTTATTGCTACTTACAAAGGTTAAAACATATCAACGTTTTTATATTAAGAATAACTTTCACAAATTTTTGTTCCGGTATAGGTGAAGAAGGTGGTTTACAAATATTGGAAGCTGATATTGCTAGGTATGCAATAGACATCACAAAACAAAAATTTTATATTATTTTATATTTTTTATCAGATATACAGAAGTTGCTAATAATATTAATAATCAAGAGACTATTGCAAATATATTGATGTATCAGATTGACTGCACACCATTAAAAGTAGCATTAGTTAAAATTTGTCAAGAATGGCAGCAAAGTTTAATCTACATCGTATTAGGACGTTTGGAAAATGATCTTAATGATATTGTATCATTAATTAAACAAAATACAGAAAGGTATACAATTAAATTTATTGAATAAAATGTAAAAACATTGTTTTCTCTTTATCTTTTACAGAGCAGTGATATTACCAAAAACTTATGATGATATTCCTATCTATCAACAATTTATAGATGATTTAAAAGCAAATATTCCACGTATCGAAGCAAAAATACCTTTGATCAGTGAAGAAGTGGCCTTATTATTACGTTATGAAGTTGAGATTGAACAAGGCGTAAGTAGTCCATCAATCCCTCGTTATGTTGTTGTACCAACTTAGTATCCACATTATTTTTTTAAAACATTATTCTATTAGAATATAATTGATACATATTGAAATAATAATTAGGCCTGCTATAGATGGTTGATCATAGTTAGGCATGCACCAGTTTTTAACTGGTGTTGGGGCATCCGGGAGAATTGGTATAAATCAGTTATCACGATTCTCTCAGAGCTGTAAAACATCTGATTTTATAGAAAAATGTTAGCTCTGCAAAATGCATTTGTTAAAAGAATTCCAGAGTCATTTCTAAGAAAACTTAGAGCATTCTAAAATGTACTAAATTACGAAAAAAGAACTGTTCGAACAGTTTTTTTTCCATGATTTAATGTATTTTTGAATATTCCGAGTTTTCTTAGAAATGACTCTGGAATTCTTTTAACAAATGCATTTTGCAGAGCTAACATTTTGCTATAAAATCAGATGTTTTACAGTTCTGAGAGAATCGTGATAACTGATTTATAGCAATTGTCCCGGATGCCCCAACACCAGTTAAAAACTGGTGCATGCCTAATATCGATCCGTGTGGATTTGTGGATCACTTTTATTCATTGGAAATTTTTAAAACTTAAGTAGATCGATGCAGTTTTTCACGATGAGTCAGAATAACTAACTTTGAAGGTTCCAAATAGTTGTTGTAACAAAATATAAAGTGATTTTTACAAAATTAGCCGTTTTTGTCAGAAAAACACGTTTTTTCGTGTTTTTCGCTTTTCTCAACGAAGACGCCAGTTAATCGAATTTTAAAGGTGATATTCTGAATCAGCGTAAAATTCTGCGTCTAGGGATATGCAACAACAGTGGACTGCGAATTTCACTGTAACTTCGAATTTGGAGCACCTTACACTAAAAGAAAAAAAATTATGCTTTTTGATTCGAATGCAGTTATAAGTGCCTCTTGCACATTTTTCCTCTTACAGACTGTTATATAAGGATTGTAAATCCTTGTTATACATATCACTCCTTTTTCCGACAGATGTCGCACGTTTTCGGGGACATATGACACATGTTGAGAACATTCTAGACATCCATTTCTGGATTCCCTCGGTCCCCGGTAGTTACCATTCTGGATTATTCTCCAATACTTTTAAAACTGTATATAAGAGTTGGTTTTCTCACTGTATATTATTATTAGCTGTTACATTTAGTATAACAACTAGCCGAATTAGCGTTATTACAACATCACAAACGTGAAAATCGAATTATTACAATCACAAACATTAACGTTTGATGAATTAGAATATGGATTAATCAAAGATGATTTTGTAAACATCAAGAAATTCTCTGATACAATCAATGATAATGGTTTTGAATTTTAATAAAGTATAATACCACTGTAAAGATCATATTCCTATGACCAAGTTTATTTTCTTCCATACGATATTTCGACAGCTACTGCTATCATTATCAAGTGAAAAGAATTGGAGAATAATCCAGAATGGTAA